GTGGGGCTTCAACGTGGCCCTGGAGTGGTCTCCCCCTGCGGACAACGGGAACGCCGAGATCAAGGGCTACAGGGTGCAGAAGTCGGACAAGAAGAGCGGGGTGAGTGTGGGCACCCCCGGTGCTGGGCAGCCCTGGGGGCAGAGGGGCAGCACAGTCAGACCTTGGCACAAGGAGGGACTGAGACATTTCTGACCCGTGACAGACCTCAGCCTTTTTTAACACATCGATGTATTTTCGGGCGTATTTTCGTGCAGTGAAAAGGGAACCTTCTTGCTGTGCTTTTCTCACTAAGACTTTTCAGGCACTTCTTCCCTGTTATTTCCTCTGTTTTCCTCTGTTTTTAGCGTTCGAGTTCATCAGTACGTTATGTCTGACAAGGATTAAAATTTTTAAAAAGTAACCCTTGCATCTAAAGGCTTTGTGGTTATAAAAAACCCCCACCAAACAAACCAAACAAAGAAACAAACACTTTTTTTTGGTACAGCTGCAGTTCAGATCAGTTCAATATTTGCAGGTAAAGATTTGCTGAAAATGGTGATATCGACCTCTTAGTTTAAAGGGCTGTGTGTGTACTGCACTGTAGTAGGAGTTTCTGTATGTGTGATGTATGGGTGGGGCCCCAGAGGGAAGGGATAAAACTGGATTCTCAATTTGAGCAAAAAAAAAAAAAAAAAGAAAAGGAAAGGAAAAAGGCAAATAGTTAAAGAAGTTTCTCGTGTGGTGCAATAGAAATAAATACAGCAAAGAACCGACCGTTTCCTGGTGAAGGATGGCAAAAGCAGACTCGGGCACTGTCAGCATCCTGCCTCCTGCATCCCTGGGCCCTGCTGCCTTTCCTCCTCCATCCCCGGGCCCTGCTGCCTTTCCTCCTGGCTCCCTTTCCTCCTGGCTCCCTTTCCTCACGGCTCCTTTCCCCTCTGCAGAAGTGGTTCACGGTGCTGGAGCGCTGCACCCGCACCAGCTGCACCATCTCCGACCTCATCATCGGCAACTCCTACTCCTTCCGCGTCTTCTCCGAGAACTCCTGCGGGCTCAGCAACAGCGCCGCCGTCACCGCCGGGCTCGCCCACATCGAGAAGACAAGTGGGGCACCCCCTGCCTCGGGCTCGGGGTGGTGTGGGGGCAAGAGTGGCCCTGACCCCGTGGGGGCTTCCTGGGTGTTGGGGTGGTGGTGCTGTGCTGGTCCCCGGGGGTCCCCTGCCCTTATCCCAGCCCTCATTCCCTGTGCCGGGGTCAATCCCCTCGGGGGCAGTGAGAGACAGCCCTGCCTTTGGTCCCGCAGCTCRGGGCCAGCAGAGACCCCTCAGGGGTCCAGCTCAGGGCCAA